GGGGAGAAACGCTCTCAGAGGCGGAGTCCGCAGCACCAGCGGCTGTGGGGGGAGTCCCAGGGGGCCAGCAGCTGCTCCAGCTGCCACTGTGGGGGGAGCCCTGGGGTCATCTGCTGTTCCAGCCGCCCCGGGACCACTGCCAAGCTGCAGCTGCTCCCACTGCCCCAGGGACTGCTGCTCAGGCGGTCCCCAGAGCCAGCTGCCAGGGGCCGCCAGAGTAGCAGCTGGTGCGGCTGGTCCCGAGGCCGCTCCAGCAGCGGCTAGTGTGGCTGGCTGCAGAGCCACTACAGCAGTCCCCAGAGCCAGTTGCTCGGGCAGCCCTGGGGTCAGCCACTCTGGCGGTTGCAGAAGTCGCAGGAAGTCATGGAATCCGTGACAAACACAGAGCCCTACTTATGACCCTGAGGAGAGGTCCAGTCAAATCCTTGCTTTAGAACATAAGAATGGCCATACTACTTCAGACCAATGGTCTATCTAGCCCAGTACCCTGTCTCCCGACTGTGGCCAACGTCAAATGCTTCAGAGGGAAAGAACAGAACAGGGCAATTATCGAGTGATCCAGCCCCTCTCATACAGTCCCAGCTTCTGGCAGTTAGAGGCTTAGGACACCCAGGGTTGTGTCCCTGATCATCTTGGCTAGTAGCCATTGATGGACCTAACCTCCATGAATTTATTAATTCTTTTTTTAACCAAGTTACAGTTTTGGCCTTCACAACATCCCCTGGCAACAAGTTCCAAAGGTTGACTGTGCCTTATATGAAGTAGTACTTCCTTATGTTTGTCTTAAACCTGCTGCCTATTAATTTCATTGGGTGACCCCTGGTTCTTGTGTTACGTGAAGGGATAAATAACACTTCCTTATTCATTTTCTCCATACCATTCATGATTTTATAGACTTCTGTCATATTTTCCCTTAGCTGTCTCTTTTTCAAGCTGAACAGTCCCAGTCTTTTTAATCATATGGAAGCTGTTCCATACCCCTAATTATTTTTGTAGCCCTTCTTTGTATCTTTACCAATATTCATATATATTTTTTCAGACAGGGTGACCAGAACTGCATGCAATATTCAAGATGGGGTATACCATGGCTTTATATAGTGGCATTAATATTTTTTCAGTCTTATCATCTATCCCTTTCCTAATGGTTCATAACATTCCCAGGAGCCAGCGCCCCATGCCAGCAGCTCCTCCAGCATGGTTGTACCGCCCCCAGCCCTGCCCACTGCACTAGTATGACCAGGGACAGCTGCTGGGGAGCATGGTACCCACCCCAGCTGCTCCTGGGAACAACAGCCTACCAGACTGCTGCTTTCACTGCTGCAGTTCCCGGTAGAGCCCTGCAGCTCCGTGGATACCAATTTATATCCACAGATATAGATTTCGTATCTGCACAGGGCTCTACTTTTTTGACTGCCCACTCAGTCGCTAACTCTCCAGACCTACCAGATTCAATCAGAAAGATGGTAAATAGGGAACCTGACTACCTGCTGTGGAGCCGAGTGTGGGCAATTGCTTAAAAACTTCCAGAATCCTATGAAAGAGAGGCAGGGATAAACTCCTACATCCTTGCCAAAAATTCCCCTCTGCATCCCCTCTTTTCTCACATGCACTGCATACCACCACAAATTGACTGGCATTCCTAAAAACATTCCTGGTTGTACATGTCCTTGATGTGTACATTTTGCCTGCCTGCACACAGACATTCAACTACTGGAATGTAACTTAAGGCTTTGTGTACTTCTTTATGGCATTCAGTTATAGAAAAAGCACTACAGAAATACAGTAACAAGACATGGTATTTACAAGATGCATGCAGTATCCTGTGCAAGCTGTATCACCACCACTTCAGTGCAAAAAGTTCATACTGTTTCAAAATAGTGCAGTCCAAGGATACAACTCCAAATCAGGTGTGCAAGTCGCCATTAGAGAAATGGTACTGAAAATTCCAGCAGTCCACCTTTTCCTCAAGGAAAGTTAGTTTAGAAAGCATTACAGGCATACACAAGCATACATAATAAGCTTTATGGTGGAACGTTCAATCAAGGCAGAAATGCAATTTCCATATTGACAAATACAAGGAAGAACATAAAATATTACATTCCACTGGTAGCACCACAACCTTCTAGGCCTAGTTTGAAGATGACCATCAATTTCCATTTCTTGACCCCCCATGACTCACTCCCATAAGGCACCCAGATCACGACAACTAGCCTGGCAGACAAGCTGGCAGACAAGCTGAATATTACCAAATCACCAGCATGGCTCCACTCCACCTTCTGTATACTAGACTGCATCATATGCAATATGGACATATATCAGTTTATAAATTAATGAATCAACAGGGAGGAAAAAACTCAAACAGGGTTTTTTATCCAGTCACTGATGGATATATATTTACCTCTTAGGTTTGAAGACCACTTTCTGTCCCCCTTCAAGTATCAGCAAAGCTTTCAGCTGGGTCCCTTTGTAGCCCACATCAGCTTTTATAATTTTCTTGGTAGCCATGGCATGCATAACAGCCCCTAGCTCCGGCGTCTCCTCGGGATACACTTCCCGTGGTACCACCCACTGGGCGGCAATCTCCCAGGGGGACTGCAGTGTATGATCAAGTCGGGGGTCTAGCTCCACACGCAAGCTTGCCATCACGCGGTGAAAGGCCCGCTGGTCCTCCCGGTTGGCAGCTGAAGTGTCCAAGTTGTCAATGAGGAAAACTTTTGTGAAAATGAAGATGACAAGGAGGATGGCCAGCAGTACCACTCGCTGCTTTAGCTTCATGGTGACCTTCAACCCTTCTCTCCTGACCCTCTCTTCCAAGGGCTACAGGAAGTCTATTAGAGATCAGGGTCAGGAGGGGGATGTTAATGCTTTTCATTCATAATTTTCACTCTTGTGGGTCTATCATCACTGAAGTATCTTCCGGTACCCCTACAAATTAACCAAAAAAAAAAAAAAAAGGTAAGTTTCACAGGTACCTATCCTCTGGTACCATCAACTCAAAATCTAGTCATTTTTGCTAAGCACGTTAAAGAGTACTGCACTTTCACCCAGCCCCAAACTTTCCTGCAAATTTTTGTGGTTTCACAATCCCATTTTCCTCTTTTGTAAACACTCTCCCCTGTTGCTCTGTGAGCACCCCACACAAACAAGGGGAAAGGACTGATACAGTTAAACGAACGATATATATAGAAGGCTGCCAAATGAAACATTCTTTATTATTGCACTTACAAGTAACAACTGAAATTATTGTAACTACAGTAGGCAAAACATTTGGAAAGAATTATTATTTAAGTTGATGGTACCACATTTAAAAGCAGAAAAGGCTCGTTTAAAAAAAAAATTGTGGTCCCTATAATATCTCCAAGTTCTCTACACTGTCTCAAGAAAATCAAAAGTATGACATCAATTCCGGTGTACTAAATCCATCCTTCCTAGCAGTTTGCAAAAGTGATAGCCAAAAACATCTCCAGAGCAAACAAACAGAGGAGAGAGAAACAATAGACAATCAACAGCCTCACAGACACAAAGGAAGTAAAAAAAAAAAAAAAAAATCACCTTGTGCTGAAACCTCAGCACGAGCAACTATGCTGTGGTACATCTATGTCTTCATATTTAAGACAGATGCAAGACATCTCCCTGTTCAATAAATTTTGGCTGATAAATTATCAATTAAGGCCCATCCGATGAGCAGTTAATCAAATCTAGTGAAATTAAGTCAAGAAAAGAATATTCCTACATTATTAATTAAACATAACCAGAATGCAAATGAAAACTGACACTACACCACCATCACTGTAGGACACTCATGGAGCTGGTAGAGATTGCACATAGTTTACGTTCCTTTATTTTTTTTTTTTTTCCAAAATGGCCACAAACTGCACCCTGAGCCGTAGATGCTCACTGGGATGAGCAATAAATGGATGAGGCAGAAGTTACATATTCAAGAAACAAGTAATACAAGTGCACTTGCTTAGTTATTTCACCATCAGTTTTACCATCTACAACACAAGGACAGCCAAAGTGCATCCCACTGGCCAAATGCAGATGACAGCCATCCCCATCTTCAGCATGCAAGTTGCGGCCCACGTGTTCAGATTAAGATGGACTACACTGCATATGAGAATCAGTATGTGTCTGCAGGCCATACACCCTGCGTTGAAGAGATGAGGGTAGCTGCGAATCTACTTTGTTTTAATGAGATCGATATCCTTGGGGTCCTAGCAAGTCACCACTGCTGTCCTCAGAGAGGCACAGTAGGAGCACTCCTGCATAAAATCTTAATGTTAGACTAAACCAATAAGCTGGGGGACAGCCTGCTGATCCACTGTTAAACCAAATTACAAGTGACAGGTAGGGACAAGCAGTTCCACACCCAATCAACAGATCTCCATATTTTGAAAATGACTCCTTGTTCAGCTGGCTAACAGTTTTAAATGTGCAGCATAAAAGATAGTAACTTTAGCCCCATCATTTTCAGTTTGTCTCATTTGTGAGGTGAAAGCTCAGTTCAGATTGCTCATTTCCGGTCACACATCTTGCTTCTCAAACACTATTGATAGCCCCCGTTTTCAGATATTAGTATGTAAACAATGTTATTGTAAAGGCAACTTGCATGCAGCTGACATGTGAATAACTCATTTAATGTGATTAGTCACTCAACACACCAAATTCCATGAAGGGAAAAGGAAGAATTAAAAAGGAGGCCAAATACCGAGCTGTTTCAATCTAGCACTACAGACACCTTATCTATGTAATACTTATCGGATCTGCCAGTTATAAAAAAGAACCTCTCCTGGTATTGATCGGAAACGAGCCAGGAAATTCACATAAGCTAAAATTCCTCCTTCAGTTCTATCTAGGAAGGGCAGAATTGCTCTGAACAGAATGTCTGTGGTATGCAGGTTGGCAATGGGAATCAGCAGTACTGATGGCAAACCTTCCCCTGACCAAAAAGGCCATACTCCTGCAAGTGCAGGATACAGGGCTTATCTTCCCTGCAACAGTTAGCTCCAATTAGTACACTTGGGTTACTCCACTCAAGCTAGTTTGAGTGACCACACTGCAAAGCACCACTCAAACTATACAGAATGATTAGATTAACAGCTGATGAGTTATAATCAGTGTTGTATTACCACTGCATTACTTCCTAGAGCTTTAGCAGCATTTGAGCTCCAATCATCCCTCCACTTATGGTTAACTAGCTCAAACTTAAAGCACCACTTAACTTGAGCTAGAGATTTGTGTATGTGGATGGGAGTTGGGTTAGGAGCTCAATCTAACATTGCAGTGAAGACACCCCCCCAAGACATTAAACACTCATCTTGAGCGTAACAAAAAGACCAAGCAGATTAATATGAACAGAATTTTATCTTCAATTCACTATATCTTTACTTTATTTATTCATTCATTCACTTTATTTCACTTCATTCTTTTAAATTTAACTAGTATAGGAACTTGCTTTCTTTTGTTTCCTTTTTGTAAATATCTCAGAGGTTTATGAGAGTTAACACTGGATCATATAGCCCACTTCAGAACCACTACTATCTACAATGGAAACACTTATTTAGGCTTTATTTATCCCAATACTGGACAGATTAAAGCACTTTGGGAAAGACTCTCCCACTTGGTACCTAAAATTTAGGCACCTATATATAAGTGGCCTGATTCTTAGAAACGCTGAGCAACCACAGATTCCTTTGATTTCCCAGGGAGCTATTGGTGTTAAACATTTCTGAAAAACAGACCACTTATACAGGCACCTACACTGCCCTTCATTGTTATCTCCCTTCCCACCAAGCCTTCTGTGTATGTTGTTAATTGGTATTTAATAAAAAATACTCTGTGAAAGATAATCATTCTTTGTCTCCTACACATTGTGGTTGCTGCTGGAATTAATACACAGTGGCAATTTGATCATTTGCTGAGAACAAATCAGAGTCAGGAATCATCAAAATTTTAATGAAAGGCAGCAAGTTAACAAAGCATGGCAGAGCGCTGTAATGAAACATTACTGGATCTCACTGTCAAAATGGTGCCTCAAAGCCTCCCTGATTCGAACTGCCCCCCCATTGTACTCCTCTAATAGCCCTAGTATCTGGCTGCTCAAAATCAGCTGCCAGGCGATCCACCTCCATGCTCCACCCCAGGGGAAACATTTAACCCTTCGCCTCACAAATATTATGGAGTGCACAGCAGGCTGCTATGACCATGGGAATATTTTCCTTGTTTAGGTCTAACCTGCCATAAAAACAGCCACAGTGTGCTTTTAATCTGCCAAAGCATATTCTATGGTCATTCTGCACCTGCTCAGCCTAATGTTGAAGTGCTCCTTGCTGCTGTCCAGGTTTCCCACGTAAGGTTTCATGAGCCACGGGAGTAAGGGGTACACTGGGTCTCCCAGGATCACTATGGGCATTTCAACATCCCCAATTTGAATCTTCTTGTCTGGAAAGAAAGTCCCTGCTTGCAGCTTTCTGTAAAGTCCAGAGTTTCTGAAGATGCATGGGTCATGCACCTTCCCGGACCACCTCATGTTGCTAGTGAAACAGCCACGGAGATCCACAAATGCCTGCAATACCATATAGAAGTACCCCTTTCTATTGATGTACTCTGTCACAAGATGGTCCGAGGCCAAAATTAGGATATGCATGCCATCTATCGCCCTGCCGCAGTTAGGGAATCCCATTGCTGCAAAGCCATCTACCATTTCATGCAGATTGCCAAGAGTCAGTGTCCTTCGTAGTAGTACGCGATTAATGGCCCTGCACGCTTGCATTAACGCAACCCCGGTGATGGATCTCCTTACTCCAAACTGATTTGCGACTGACCAGTAGCAGTCTGGAGTAGCCAGCTTACACACAGCGATTGCCACACGCTTCTCCACCGAGGGGGCAGCTCTCATTTTGGTGTCCTTGCGCTGCAGTGTTGAGGTGAGCTCTGCACACAGGTCCAGGAAGGTGGCTTTCATATCTGAAATTCTGCAGCCACTGCATGCAATCCCATCACTCAGTGCTTGTTTCCCGAACCCAAAAGTGACGGTCCTCCGCATCCAACTGCTCCATGAATGCCAAAAGTAATCTGGTGTTGTTTCTTTCCATGGCTCATAGCAGTTTGGCACCTCTGATTTGTGTTCAGATTGGGTGTTCATGATATTCTGCATGACCAGTCATAACGTGTTCATAACAGTGACAGTACAGAACAGTGCAGGATCCATCCTTTCAGACAGAGATGGCTGGTGCACAGTAAACAGGGACCGTTGAAAAATGCCACAAAACGCAGTCGGAAGCCCATGGAACACTGGGATAGAAAAATGCATCATGAGACGTTGAGCCCCTACCACGATGCACTGCGATCCATTCTGCCTTCCCACACCACCTAGCTGCAGAAGGTGGTGAGTTGCACAGTGCACTGCTCTCTCTGTCGATGCTAGAGCACCAACTGTGGATGTGCTCTGCTGAGAGAAGGAGCGTTATGAGAACATGTACAAGCAATGTAATTATACCGGGTTTTAATCATCGGCATAACTTTTGTCGACAAAACCCTTAGGGTACGCCTATACTACCCGCCGGATCGGTGGGTACTGTTCAATGTATTGGGGATCGATTTATCACGTCTCATCTGAACGCGAAAAACTGATCTGCTAATCGACACCCGTACTCCACCTTGGCAGGAGGAGTAAGCGGCGTCGACGGGGGAGCCGCAGCAGTCGACTTGCTGCCGTGAGGACTGCCAGGTAAGTCGAACTAAGATACTTCGACTTCAGCTACGCGAATAGCGTAGCTGAAGTTGCATATCTTAGTTCGAACCCCCCCGCTAGTGTAGCCCAGGCCTTAGTGTAGATGAGGCCTGAGAAAGTCCTTTCACGCAACGTTCTTATCTCCAGCAACCTTGCTGATTAAACAAAAGGCACAGTCCAAGAGTTTTATTACCTAAGTAAACTCCATGTACACACCCAGAGAAGAAAAGAATCACCCTTCACCCATGTTACCACATCCTCATGTCACAGAAAAAACAAATCAATATTTGAACATAAAAACAATGCCAGGTTTTTAATATTGCTGTTGTTGCTTTTCACTAAGTTCCCACAGATATTTCCTAATGGATTTCAACTCTGATTCTAGACAGTTCGGTATTATTTGCAAACACCAAGCCTTCCTACCCCATGCCCACATTACAGCACTTTTAAACACCAAACACATTCATTATGCACACAAACGTCTCAACTAAAGCATTCCCACCCACTTATTAAATAAAAACATATCTCAGTACTTTCCTGCCAGTCTGGAAGGTTACTCATGCGACAGCCAAACAGCAGCTAAACCACTCCCTTCCCCAAACTGGCACTCTCAGTGGCAGCAACACACCGTAGTCAGCTCTCTGCTACTTGTTGAGGAAATGTAATCCATTCATATTCTTAAGACTCGGGGTCCTGCAACAGCCAACCACCTCTAAGCCAGCCCAGCACCACTTTCCAAAAGCAAAAACAAGCAGCAGGCATAGCACAAAACCAAAAGGGTGTATACTCTGGCACCTGAGAAATTAGAAAAGAACTGTACTTAGAGGGCAACGCCATTACAGGGACAGAATCAAAATTATCTAATAAGGTGCCTGTCACAACGTTGTCTGGACACAATTTACAAGACTTTCACTTGGTCATTAGAATTTTCAAATAAGACAGAACAGGGAGAGGCCTCATTAGTCAGATCTGAACCCAGAATTTCATAGTTCAGTCTCATGAAATAAGCCTGCGAACAAATGCATCTTACAACTTTCTGTATGTACTCAAGTGCATGCTTAAATGGACTTTTATCTCTCCGAAGAACATAAAAACATAAGAGCTGTCATACTCAGTCAGACCATGGTCCAGCTTGCCCAGTATCCTGTCTCTGACAGTGGCCAGTACCAGAGCTTCAGGGGGAGAGAACAGAACAGGGCAATCATGGAGTGATCCACCCATCTTCCACTCCCAGCTTCTGGTAGTCAGAGGATTAGGGTCATCCTGAACATGGGGTTGTGTCCCTGACCACCTTGGCTAACAGCCATTGATGGACCTAACCTCCGTGAACATATTCAGTTCTTTTTCAAACCCTACCCAGTTATGCTTCCAGCCATCCGAAATACTATGATACTACTAAATACTCAGTTTCTTGTGTAAGAACATCCTATGAAGAGGACTGTAAGGTTCATCATAGTAAATATGGGGAAATTTGCTGAACAAAGTTTCCAGTGCAATTTATTTCAGCCTTCAGAGACCAATTTCTACTGGCGTCCCCCCATTCCATTCTGGCAGATTCCTTGGTAGCTTAACATCTATGTAGGAGGAGAGAGGGTATCAGCATAGAATTCTTTTATTCACATACTCCCCCAGACATTATCTTAGAATTTGCAGACACTCTTACCACCTCTCTTTCATTACCTGGTGATTGTTCTGTACTACCCTCGTGATATAGTGCTAAAGGCTTCCTATGAGTTTACTGGTCTGGTACAGCATCTCCCTGCTCCCTTAGTCTGTAACAACCTTCACCATACAACCCTGCAGGCAGTTCTCTGAGGCTGGGCCTAGCCTAGAATTTTTTCCTTAAGAAACACCTTCCATTGCACCTTCACCAGCGGCAGCAGTAGCGAGAGCTCGAGCAGAGACAAGGTACTGGTTGGTCACCAGCATTTTAACACTATGTCATGGAAACCTGACATGAAGATAAAAGTGTCAGTAACCACCAGCAATTTTTTTTTTTTTTTTTTTTTTTAACGACACCAAAACTCCCCCTATTGGGAGAGGTGGAGCGATAAGCAAAGGGGTAATTTAAGGAGACTAGTGTAGAAAAGGCCTTAAACTGATGGAAAATGACATGTATTTCCTTCTAGGTTTGATGTCAATGATGCTAAGAATAAGTTTATTCAGCTGACAAATAAAAAGATGCACTAAAAACTCAAAACTGAGATCTGAAAATCTATCTGCAATCTTAACTAATAATAGGCCCAATCCTGCCAGGTGATGAGCCCACCCTATCTCCGCTGGCCTCAACAGAAGCTGAAGGTAGTTAGCACCTCTACAGAACCAGAAGCATAGATTCTGGGATCAGATCTTAGCTGCCAATTTTGCTGACAACATGCAAGGCAGTACAAAATCTATCTGGCTCTCCTGGGACTTTGGTTTGCAAGTGGAAATAAATCGTTTTTTCTCACTGACTTATACCAGCCAACGGTCTGGCCTTCAATGTTGAGCGAGGCTCACTTCCTTTTAAAACAAAAAAACAAACAAACAAAATTGAGCCTGAATCCATACTTCTTATGACAGCCACATTTAATCTGTATGCTCAATGGTAAAACTTGTTTCATTTTTTTCATCATGTGACAATGTCATTTGCTGAATCACAGGCTTTACCTCCAAGCTTTCCCATAACCAGAATGGCTGTTCGAAGTGGAACCAACTTACTGAAAAGGCAAATTTTTCCAATTACATAGGGTGGAGAGGGTTTTTGTTTGTTTGTTTTGAGGTGTTTATTTTAGATCTAACTGCAAAGGCCCTGTAGAATGGAGGTAAGGTAAAACAGCAAAAAATTATTTGCTTTTGTTGTAAGATACACAGCGAAACATCTTGAGTGATCACCATAAGACTGGAAAAGTCAGCCAAATACAGACTGCACTGCACTGAATGCTTAGAGATACTTTTAAGTAAAGTGATCACTTAAGGCAGTTTTCCTGTTGTTGGAGGGGTCTCATTGTGCAGGTTTTACAGTACTGCTAGGTAGACTATGAGGTCTAATGACAGTATAAAAACACTGACCTTCACTGTAGTGTATTAGAGTTTGAGTCGTGTCAGAAATGGCTGGAGTACAAGACAGCACTCAAACAAGCCCTTCTTACTGAAGATTAGAGTAGAGAGTTGGAAGGGGATCTTTGTCCACTACCCATCAGCCACTGAGATGGTCCCAACAATTAAAGGTTTCAGAGTAGCAGCCGTGTTAGTCTGTATCCGCAAAAAGAACAGGAGTACTTGTGGCACCTTAGAGACTAACAAATTTATTAGAGCATAAGCTTTCGTGGGCTACAACCCACTTCTTCGGATGCAGTGTACTGTCTAATAGTTAGAACAAAGAACTTTGAGTCAGGATTCCTGGGTTCTATTTGTGGCTGCTGCTGACTGGCAGTGTGACCTTGGACAAGTCATTAAGCCATTCTGTGCCTCAGTTTCCCCATCTACAGAAGGGGGGCTAATATTTTTCTAATTGCTAGGACATGCGGGTATAGCTTTAATTGTTGTCTGTAAAGTGCTTTGAAATGCGAAGATGAAAGGGATCACAGAAGCATGAAATATTATTCAAATACTTTTCAAAGTCGAGTGGAGGAGGATTCTCGGGGGACTTCTCACAAGAGCAAGATCTTATTTGAATGATCAGCTATGCTTGGGAAAGGCTCACAACCAACCCAGGGAAAACTGTGCTAAAGACCCGTCCCTACCATAGGCAGCCACGGTAAAGCCCCATCAAGGTTTCCAATGCAAGTTACTTCCACCCTTGCAGACCCAACTCTGGTGGGTGACTGATCCCCTCAGAAGGGGGCCACTCTCCCTATCGCCCAACATACCAGCGTGGCTCCAGACGGGACCCCACACCGCCCCAGCGAAGCGGGGATTCCCGGAGAAAAGACCCCGACGCCCCTCGGGGCTTGTTGTCTGCCCCACGGGCGCCCCGGCACCGCACGGGAGGTCGCTGCTGCTCCCCTACGGACCCGAGGGGGCGATCGCGCCGCGGGGAAGGGGCGTGTCGGGCGGGAGAGGGGCGCCCCCTCCCAGTATGCGCGGGGCCCGTCCCCGCCGAGCCACGCAGGCAGCCCTGCCCACCGCAGCGGAGGGCCGCGGCCGCAGCTCTACGCGGCCCCCAGGCCGAAGGGGTCGAGCGCGGCGGGCCTGAAGCTCCCGACCCCGCTCACCTGCCCCGGCCCCGGGGCCGCTAGCGAGCGCCCTGCGCGCCGCTCCCGGAAAGGTGCCACCCGGCGCCCCGTACTCACCCCGGCCGGCGCCCGCGCGCCATCCCCGGCCGGCGCTGCCAATGCCAACAGCCCCGCGAGCCCTCCAACATGGTGGCGCCCGGCGCCGCAACCAATAGGGCCGCCTCATCCGCCACCACCGACCAATGGGGCCGCACCTTTCCCCGCTCCCTCACCGAAAGGACCACAGGGGCTCCCGAATAGGGCACCGCCTTTAACACGCCAGCCAATGGGACCGGCTCGTTGACCTCCACCCACTCCCACAACTATTCCCTGACAGCCAATAGGAGCGTGCCTAATTTAACTCCCTCCGCCCCAGCCAGAGCCTCTGTCTAAGCCCCACCCAATTAACCCTTCCCTGCTTGAGGCCTGGGAGCAAGCAGCAGCCAGTGAGGGGTGCTGTGCTGCCCCAGGTTGGGGGGCAATACCTGCTGCGGGGAGGGGTAGTAAGAAGTATCTTGGCCCCTCCCCTACAGATTAGGGTTTGGCCACAGTGGTCACTTAGGAAAAATAATCCACATTAAGAAAAGATGTGATTTTAAAGAGGATTAGCTACACCAAATTAAGGCCACTTTAAATCTGCATAAGTGTCCCCACACAGGGGTTTAACTAAGCAACTTTAAATTCACAATTATTTCACATTCATGTTCATGAGTGTCTCCATGTAAACCGACCCAAAGGTCAGCAGGGCCCAGACCATAGGTGCACTAGTGTCTCCCACTTTCTTCCTAGCATCGAACCAGAAGCCACACCTTCTACCAATCCCTCATCTCAGCCCCTGATCCACACAACCTGAATCCCTTCCCAGTATGTCTGCAGGTGAATTATTTTACTTTAGAAAAAATAAAGGATCATTAACCCATGGTAATGGAAGGAGTCACTGACACTCAGGCACTATAGCCTACAACATTTTAAGTTTCGTGCATATATAATTTGCTCCAGGTCTCAGTCATACCTCCACTAGGGCATGGCTGGTTGAGAAGTATAGATATAGGCTCTGGGGCTTTCCCTCCTTTACCTGGGAAAGGGTGGAAGTGCTTTCTCCCATTAGAGGGTGGAATGGCACACACTAGAAGGAAACCAGATGCTGGGCCTGGCTGACCCTTACAGGAGCTTGTTGCATAGATAAATCCTTTTACCCCAGATCAATCTGCTAGAAAACATGTTTAATTTACTTTTTAAAAAGAAGACTATAACGGACAGAGGTGGTAGCACCACCCTTTTTAAGGCTGTCCGAAGCTTCCCGTTATAATAATACCGTTTTCAGTTGCTTATAACTTTGCCAACATTTACCTGTTCAGGCTGAAATCTTCCATGCCAGTTGTCTGCTTTAGGCTCATCTTTGGAAAATTTCATCCAAAACAACTCAGCTATTTCTGAGAACTTGGAATGGCTGAGCAAGGAGACTGGAGACAAGGAAGTGGGGAAGGGGGAAGATTGGGACAGAGAGTTGGAAGGGGTGAGACTAGGATTTGCTGGGCCAGGAGACTGACTGGGATGAGAAGGCAGAGGAAAGGAGACACACTGGCTATGTGGGGAGAATGGGATTGGGTTGAGGAGCTAGGGGTGGGGAAGAGATTGGACTAGAAAAGGGAAAAGTTGGAAGGGACAGGCGGGGGAGAAATGGGTAGAAGAGTTTGTGCCTACTAGAGCACACTCCCCTCCAAAGCCTGGAATGGAACCTAAGGTTCCTGAACCTTATCATTCCTCTGCTGTTAGCAAATAGCTGTGAAACTATCTGGCTGTGTGTCTCATCCCCCCCATCGAGGATGAGGATGACAACCTACTACTGTTATCAGTTACTCTGTTACCTCATGTCATAGGTGTCTGTTTGGTGATCTAAAGGTTCCAATCCTGCTGATGATCCATGTAGGTGTCAATATGATACCACATGATGGAATTTGTTTTTTTCAGTTTGCTTTTTTAAAAACCTAAGAAATTACACATACAAAAATCTATGTTAAAAGATCATTAAGGATGCAAAGTCAACCAGTCAAGTTAAGAAATGCCAGAAATAATGAGCACCATAGAAAAGCCCATAGAAATTAATAATTCTGTCTTCAGAGCAGGGTTTGAATAGTGTGTAGGAAATAAGGCCTGGAGCCACCCATTGAACAATGAGGAGAAAGCAAAATATTGAACAGCTGCTCTTTTAGTGAGCACCATCCATCCTGTGTCCTGAATGAGGCCAGGGTCATATAGAAAAAATAGTATGTGATCACGTAATAAAAACTGCATCACAGTGCATATGCACAAGGTTAATGAATTAAAGTTGCACAGGCAACTTTCATTTTGGCATTTCCTAACATCTGAGTGCTTGACTCTTCAGCCTTAATAATGTTATTGTGTGGGTGAAGGTGCGGAGTTGTGGGGTGAGGATGTTTGTGTTATAAGGAGTGCATGGTCCTGAAGTTAAAAAGACAACAGGAGAGCTGGATTCTATTCTTTGCTCTTCCACCATCATTTACCCTTTCGGTACCTCAGTTTTCTCTCCTGTAAAATGGAGATGAATTATCCTCACCACACAAAGCTGTTACTAGGCTTATAGATCAACTATAGAAAGCTGTCAAAGAGATTCTGCTAACCGAGGGCAGAGCAGGTTAAACGGGTCCCATCCTTCCTCTTGAGCCCTCCAGACCCAGAACTGTGCAGAAGACATCCCATTTGGGTCACTAGGACCCAGGTGGCATTCCACTTCCCCCAGCCATGATGATATCGACCTTTAGGAAAGAAACTGCAGGGAGGAGGCAGAGACTGAAGCCATAATAAACATTATTATTATTAATAATATAATAAGATTAGTACCCTTACCGCTGGTTCTGATCCACTTCCATTTTCTGCTTTGAGATTGTTTGATGGATGGTGCTGCAGAATGGCAAAACTATCATTTTTATTAGTTTCAGATTTATGTGCCTCATAATATTGTACAACATGAGAACAGGAGATCACATCGAGTGACTCTGTACATCCTTCAAAATCTTTAATGCCTTACTCAAACATAGGCTACAAATTTTGACAAAGTGTGAGGCATTATTTTATTAGTAACATTTTGAAACAACCAACGAAAGCCCTAATAAAATGTGCTTATAGAAAAGTTACACACCAGACTCAACAATTAAGGTAGTTCTTACCAAAAAAAAAAAAAAAAAAAAAGCTTCTTTCCTTTCAGAAAAACTGTATACTTTTTAAAACGTTTTGTAAAGTCACATTTCCTTGATGTTACTTGTGCTATAGGCTGAGAAGCATCCTAACAGTTTTAAATAAAATGTCTGCAAAATAGATTTATTTTATTTTATTTTTTAAGAAACATGCCCTCGCCTCCCACTCCACCTGCTTCATTTAGTAACAGTGCCTTTTCCACTTCTTCTGCTCTGCTTCCCTTTACAGTATGCATGGCCTGACAGTTCTTTTCATGCTGGTCTCCCCTTTCCTGATCTGCTTGTTTCTTCTTTTTCATTTTAGTACCAGTATTCAGGCAGAAATGCTTCCCCCTAGCACTACTGCAGCTGTGGGTAAGTCCAAATTTAACCCTTCCCGTCCTCATGTCTGTCAGCGTGCAGCCCTGCTTTAACATTTTTGTTCCCAAATCACTGCTGAGTGCATTGATGGATGTGAAAAACAAGCTTTTTAATATTACAACATGCAGAATTATTAAGTGTCTCAGTCATCTTAACCTCACTCCAAGAATATGGAACACAATATTTAATTATTCCAGTTGTTGAAACTGCAACTTTTAGAATAAGACTACAAGATCTATGAAAATATAAGAGGATGGAAACAGGATCTCATATTTTTCTTAATGGGTTTTTAAAACACTTAGCTCTTACTTATATAGTTCCTCTGGGAGCCCTTGAATAGATGATCTGATTTTATGGTATTCTAATGACTAGTTAGTGGAACTATTATTTCAACCCCATATATGGATTCCTGAGATAAAGAAATCCTATAAAAAACAAATGCTAAGATATTCAGAGGTATTTGGTTTCCTGTGAAAACCAAATGCACAGCCCTAGAAGATATATATCTATCCCTCCAAAAATATGTTTTCCATAGTTAATGATCAGCCAGGAATTGCAGCTCTGAATGCTCAGGAGCATACAAGATTAACATACATATATAATACTCCTGCAAGTAATGATATAGACTTTTACTATTTTTCATGCTTGTAATAGGTGTTCACCAGTCAATAAAAATATGTTCAAATTCCAACTTAATCCAGCAGGAGTCTCTGTGAATAATAATACCTAGTTCTTACATAGTGTTTTTCCATCAGAAGTTCTCAAAGCACTTTATTAAGGAGGTCAGTATCATTAACCCCATTTTACAGATGGGAAAGTGACTTGCCCAAGATCACACAGCAGACCAATGGCAGAGCTGGGAATAGAACCTAGGTCTCCTGAGTCCCAGTCCAGTGCTTTGTCCACTAGGCAACACTGCCTTTACACTGTTGCAGTGCCAGGCTCTCCCAGCAGGAGTCACTCGTGAATGGTGTAGAAATATCTCTATGCGATACTGCCCCAGTCTTTCCCAGAAGATATTATGGCAAGGAATGGTGGAGCAGTATGGTGGACTTCTCATAGCTATTGCAGTCAACAGAGAGAATCGCTTTACTCTGCGTAAGTTCAAGCTACTCATTCCCTCACCTTGAAGACTCTACCCAACTTTGTCCCCATCTCCTTTTACATCTCTCTGCTTCATTTGCTCTGCCCTAGTTTGTTTCCTAAGAACTGCTCTCTTTGCCTCCTCAACAACTTGCTTGATATTCTTCCTTCCTTCCTTCCTTCGAACAAACAAACAAAAAAATCCTGAGGATGCATTTTTACAGAGAAGTTTTTGTGCTACAAGACCATGCCCACATCACACACTTGTTCTCAGGGCCGCCCGGGGGGGGGGGCAAGTGGGCAATTTGCCCCAGGCCCCGGGGCCCGCAGGGGCCCCCCACGAGAGTTTTTCGGGGCCCCTGGAGCGAGGCCCTTCACTCGCTCCGGGGGCCCCGGAAAACTCTTGCGGGGCCCGGGCCCCCAGAGCGTCTTCTGCTCCGGGTCTTCGGCGGCAGTTCGGTAGCGGGGGGTCCTTCCCAGTAGCATAGCTAGCGGGGTGCAGGGGAAGCAGCTGCTTCC